AAGTTGTATAGTTCATTTTCAACATAGTAACTATCACTACTGCATTTGCTCACCCTTGTCTGTGCCATTTCTGTGTTTCTCTTTACCTTCCAAAGACAGATAAGTGAACAAATAAGACAAACGGAATGAAAACAAAAACAGCAACAAAGGAAAAAAGAGCCTCTTGTTTCTACTTCCTGGAGTTCATTTCCATAAATACTATTTTTTTTGGGGGGGGGTCCAGTCGTGGGGCCTGAACTCTGGGCCTGGGCACTGTCCCTCAGCTCTTCAGCTCAAGGCTAGCACGCTACCACTTGAGCCATAGCACCACTTCCGGCTTTTTTTTTTTTTCTTTTTGCTTATGTGGTGCTGAGGAATCAAACCCAGGGCCTCAGGCATGCAAGGCAAGTGCTCTACCACTGAGCCAACTTCCCAGCCCCTATAAATACTATTTTGTACCATCACATGCACAGGGCTACGTGATCCTTTCTTTCCTAAGACATCCTCTTTTGGTCTTATTCTATGTGAGTGCCTAGAGTGTATCCTGTTTGTTTGTTTGTTTGTTTTTTTCCTGGTCGTGGGTCCTGAACTCTGGGCCTGAGTGCTGTCCCTCAGCTCTTCAGCTCAAGGCTAGTACTCTACCACTTGAGCTACAGCTCCACTTCAGGCTTTTTCTGCTTATGTGGTGCTGAGGAACTGAACCCAGGGCCTCATGCATGCGAGGCATCTCTACCACTGAGCCACTTTCCCAGCTCCATGTCCTGGTTTTTAACTGGGAAATTCTTGTCCGGTTGGATCTGTAAGCTTTAAATGTGATAAGGCAAATAAAGTGATTAGTACTCAACAGGGACTCAATAAATGTTATCTAGAACAAATAAAGTGGCTTGCTTCTTTAATTCTTCTTTTCTTCCCCCTAACTTAAAACCTTTGCTTAAAAGTAACTTCAGTCTTTGGGGCTGGGAAGGTGGCTCAGTGGTAGAGTGCTTACCTCACATGCATGAGGTTCATCAGTTCCTGGGTTCAGTTCCTCAGCACCACATAAGCAGAAAAAGCTGGAAGTGGCACTGTGGCTCAAGTGGTAGAGCACTGTCCTTGAGCTGAAGAGCTGAGAGACAGGGCCCAGACCCAGAGTTCAGGCCCCACAACCAACAAAAACAAAAAACAACAAAAAAAGTAACTTCAGTCAAGAAAAGCCTTGGTTTACACTGAAGACAATTTGATTTGAATTTTCCTGCAGCCAGGGCTGGCAGGGTTAATGCATGCCAGCTGAGAAGCCATGCTGTTTACCTTCTGGCAGCCCATATGCAGATGCCCTTGTATTAATTACATAAGAAACCCCGACTAACTTAGAAGTCCTTTGACTGTTAGAGAGGCAGCTGTTGTAGCTGTGAAACAGGTTTCCTTCCTCCCTCCTACTGTCAGTCCACAGCTTTTAATTTCTTCTTTAGAGACCTGCTAAGGCTGCACTGTTGGTCCTCTGAGCCCCTGGCTAGTTCACTCAACTTTTTGATCTGTAGTTACAGAAGTCCTGAGGGAGCTTGCATAATTAAATTCACATATAATTTAAAATAAAAACAACCAACCTCTCTTCACTCCCACATCCTTACTCTTTCAACAATTAAAACATCATATCCAGTATTTTAGAACTGGAAAAGACGTTAAAGACAATCAAATCTAACACCTTGAGTTTACAGATGAGCAATTCAAGGCTTAAATGGAGAGTGGACTGCCAAGGTCACAGAGCTAGTCAGTGGTGAAGCTTGGGGTCAGAAATGTGCCCTCAGTTTAGTGCTGTGCCCTCACCATGCTACACTTCGTATCCTGGAGCTGTGTGCCCAGAGAAGGAAGGACTCCAGCTGTCTGCTTTTAGCTTCATTTTTCTCATGTCCTTGTTCAAATCTTACAGACATGTTAGAGGTTAGTGAGGAAGGTAAAGATTCTTGGGAGAAGCAAAGGCTGTGGACAGTGATGTCTCCATGAAGCCCTTTCTTGAGGGTAGTAGGTTGCACATGGAACCCTTGCAGAGAGCATACAAGTAGAGAATTAGGCACTAGGCTCAATTGAGTCCCCTTTGCATTACACTAGTCCTTGGTTGCTTTGACAGTAGCAGGTTTATTTGTAGTGGCTGTTTTTGCAGGAGAGATGGAAACCGGAGAGGTGATAATTTGGGTCTGATGAATAATGTGGTGTGCCTGTGGTAGTTTTGCCAATGCAGCATGTTTTATTAGCTTTTCTGGCATGGACACTGTCTCAGAGGTGTTGAGGCCTTTCTGTCTAGCCTCTAAAAGTGGTTCAGTTGGTTTTCTTCTTTATTATCCACCCTCCTAGTAGTAGCAGTCACGAAGCTCATGTATGTTGGTTAGTTTTATCTAAATTTTGAAACAAGGGCTGGGAAGGTGGCTCAGTGGTAGAGCGCTAGCCTTGCATGCTTGAGGCCCTGGTTTCGATTCCTCAGCACCACATAAGCAAAAAGCAAAAAGCCGGAAGTGGCGCTGTGGCTCAAGTGGTAGAGTGCTAGCCTTGAGCTGAAGAGCTGAGGGACAGTGCTCAGGCTCAGAGTTCAGGCCCCACGACCGGACCCAAAAAATAATAAAAAAAAATTTGAAACAGCTTTGTTACAAGAATTTATTTAAAAGTTAATTGATACTTAGATAGTTAATTCTTAGGTGAGAATCTGGGAGACTTGAGAAAAGAATAAATGGAGAAATGGTAGGCGAGAGAGAAGTCAGTATCTGGGCTTCTCACAGGTTAGGCTGAGACTGTGGTGGCTAAATTCTGCAATTCTACTTTTGTTGGTTGCTACTGTATATGTTGAGATAAAAGTCATTTTTAGGAGTGATCATTCTCCTTAGACTATTCATCATGATACTATACATTTCAAAATATTTAATGGGTTTCCTTGTTGCTTTCTGTAGACAACTCCCAATAAATGGATTCTTAGCAGAATGAACTTTAAGCACTTACATATATCAATCTCTGTGTTGGATGTTGAAGATAGAATGATGGTTGTGATTATTATAAACAGATAATTAGAACAAATTGATAAGTGAACAAGATACAAAGGGACTCAGGACTTACTACTGCCCAAGTGCTTATGCAAACACTGTTCCTTCTTGTTTTTGGTTATAGGTCAAAGATGAAACCAGTAGTTTAATCTTACTCTTATGCTTATTAAATATCTTACACAGAATTAGGCACTCAGTGAATACTCTTTGCTTTTTCAAAGGAGTCAACTTCTTTCCCATAGAAGTTTCTTCTTTTCAGTGTCTGGTGTTGCTGCTGATGTACTTGTTCAGGCATTCAGAGACAGACATGAAAGGAGAGGCACAAAATGTAGAAAGAGCCTGGATAAATACAGACAGATCTCTTTAATTTTTTTTTTTTTGGAAGTGGAGGAGGTTTGAGGATTTGAAGTAGAAGCAGGATAGGTACATTCTGAACCATCTTTTAATGAATCAGGCCTCTTGCTGCTTCAATTACACAAACAAAATAAGCAGCCTGAAAATAATTCAGTGTGGCTTATGGGCTAAATGACTAAATGAATAGTATTTCACTTAGTAATACCACCCAGACTTCAGTTATAATGTGTGTAGTTTGGCTCAAAGGTTGGCCTTTCTGAATCTTAGTTGTAGGGGACCTTGATGCTGAAGAAGTAGGAGAGTGAGAGTTCAGATTCTGATAGTTTCAGTAAAATAAATTGTGATTCCCCCCTCCCCCAAACTGGTACTACTTGAATCTGTGAGAGGAGGTTAACCAGTTAGATTAGTGGTGATTATCTTCAAAGGGGAACATTTTTGAGATAAATCACATTTCTTCCTAGAATTGTTTTATCCTAGTGGGGAGTTCTTCTCTTTGTCTTAAGCAGTGTCTTTTTACCCATAAACAGAAGTATGACTTGATTGGCAAGTGTGGCATCGGTGAGCTGGCAGCTTAGGCACTGTCTCAGCCATCAGAGGTATGAACTGAATGTACTATAGCTGTCAGTCTTGAAAAAGTTTTCAGTGGTGGGTGCTGGTGGCTCATGCCTGTAATCCTAGCTACTCAGGAGGCTGAGATGAGGATCACAGTTGAAAGTCAGCTCTGACAATAAAGTCCATGAGACTCTTACCTCTAATTAGCCACCAGAAAACTGGAAGTGGGGCTGTGGCTCTTCAGCCTTGAATTGAAGAGCTCAGGGACAGTGCCCAGGCCTAGAGTTCAAGCCCCATGTCTGACCAAAAAAAAAGTAAAAAAAGAAAATATTTTCAACGTGTGTGTGTGTGTGTCTGTGTCTGTGTCTGTGTCTGTGCACGTGTGCACACACATGCCCATGTGCAGATCAGCTCATACATTTAGGTAAACATGTGAGAAGCATAATAAGATAAAATTGCATATGGCAGGGAAGTTTGAGGTCTTAGTGAGAAGGAAGGTTTTAATTTTCACACATTCAACTATAGTTTCTCCTTGGACTCATGTTTCAGTGATTGACATTTTAATGATTACATTTGTATGGAATTCTTACAAACTCCTGAGGCTGTCCCTCTTCAGAATGAAAAAGGGAGGAACATTATTGCCATCTTCTAATAGAAATAACAGCTTGTTCTCTGGGGATGTGCTGAGGAAGGAAACTGTTTGATATTTGAAGAACCTTTTTTGACTGGGATATTTCCTTTTTTTCTTTTTTGTGGGTCATGGGGCTTGAACTCTGGGCCTGGGCGCTGTCTCTCAGCTCTTCAGCTCAAGGCTAGGGCTCTACCTCTTGAGCCACAGTGCCACTTCTGGTTTTCTGGGTGGTTTATTCGAGGTAAGAATCTCAGGGACTTGCCTGCCTAGGCTGCCTTTGAACCCTAATCCTCAGATCTCAGCCTCCTGAGTAGCTAGGATTACAGGCAGGAGCCACTGGCGCCTGGCTTTGGGATATTACCTTTAACTTAGAGTTACTGGAAATTTTTCCTTTAGGACCCTGATGTCCTAATGGAGTCTCTCTGTTCTTTCTCACTCTTCTCTCTACTCCTTTTCTCCTCCACTCTCTCCTCTACCAGGCCAGCTGAGCTGCATTTCCTTCCCAGCTAAGGAAGAGAAGTACCTCCAGAAGATGGTGGACTGCCTCCCCTGCATCTTGATCCTCGGCCAGGACTGTAAAGTCAAGTGCCAGCTGTTGAACCTGCTGTTGGGGGTGCAGGTGCTTCCCACCAGCAAGTTGGGCAGCGAAGAGAGCTGTAAGCTTCGGCGCCTCCACTTCACCTATGGGACTCAGACCCGTGTCAGCCTGGCTCTCCCTGGACAGTATGAACTAGTGCACACACTGGCTGCTCACCAGGGCAACTGGGAGACCATCCCTGAGGAGGACTTGGAAGTTCAAGAGGACAGTGAGGATGCTGCTCATGTTTTAGCTGAACTGGAGGTGACAATGCACCATGCCCTCTTACAGGTACCCATCTCATGTACCAATTGTACATTTTTGTACCAGCTTGGCATTTATTTTGACTTTTTGAAAGAGTGACTTGATGCTGTACACTCTGGGCCCTGAGCAACAGCTTGCAGAGTCAGAAGAAATATTTCAGAGAGTTGAAAACAGACCAGGCTGAGGCAGTGCCCATCACTGCCTCCAATCACTATTGTTGTATGGTCCTGGGTAATGTGATGTCTCCTAGCATGAAAGGAAAGGATTATGTGATAATTGCATATTGACAGAGTCCTTACCATCAAAGTTAGAAAGCCTTTTTTTTTTTTCTTCCTGGTGGTACTAGGATTTTTTTTTTTTTTTTTTTGTGGGTTGTGGGGCTTGAACTCTGGGCTTGGGCCCTATCCCTCAGCTCTTCAGCTCAAGGCGAGTGCTCTACCGCTTGAGCCACAGTACCACTTCCGGTTTTCTAGTGGTTTATTGGAGATAAGAGTTTCACGGTCTCTCCTGCCCGAGCTGGCTTTGAACCGTGATCCTCAGATCTCAGCCTCCTGAGTAGCTAGGATTACAGGCGTGAGCCTCCAGCGCCCGCCTGATACTGGGAATTTGAACTTAGGCCTTGCTCTTGCTAGGCAGGTGTTTTGCCACTTAAGCCACACCCCCTACCCCGCTTTTGCTTCTTTATTTTTTTGTTGGTCATGGAGCTTGAACTCAGTGTCTGGGCACTGTCCCTGAGCTCTTTTTGCTCAAGGCTAGTACTCTACCACTTTCTGCCATATCAGTTTTCTGGTAGTTAATTGGAGATAAGTGTCTCATGGACTTTTCTGCCCAGGCTGGCTTCAAACCTTGATCCTCAGATCTAAGCCTCCTGAGTAGCTAGGATTACATGTATGAGCCCCTGGCACCTGGCTGCTTTATTTATTTATTTTGGTCGGCCGTGGGGCCTGAACTCTGGGCCTGGGCGCTGTCCCTCAGCTCTTCAGCTCAAAGCGAGCGCTCTACCACTGGAGCTACAGCGCCACTTCCGGTTTTCTGGTGGTTTATTGGAGATAGGAGTCTCACGGTCTGTCCTGCCCGGGCTGGCTTTGAACCGCAATCCTCAGATCTCAGCCTCCTGAGTAGCTAGGATTACAGGCGTGAGCCACCAGCGCCCGGCTTGCTTCATTTATTTTTAAAAATAGAGTCTTGCATTTTTTGCCCAGGGCCAGCCTTGGACTCTGATCCATCTATTTTTGCTCTCAGATAGCTGGAAGCACAGGTACATACCATCATGCTAGGCTTATTAGTTGAGCTGGGGATCTAGCTGACTTTTACCTGGGCTGGCCTTGAAACCTCAGTCTTCCTGATCTCCCCCTTCTGAGCAACTGAGAATAAAGACAAACACCATCTCCCCCAGTTCCCTTGTTTCATTCTTAGTAGTAAGTTGTTACTGGAATTTATCTAGCCATCCCTAAGAGACAGTAGGATGATGAGTAGTTAACATTCTTAATAGAAATGAGACCAAATGAAAATTTTTGTTGGTTTTTCCTGAGATCTAGCCATTAATTTACCAAATGGAACAGTTGATTTCTTCTGCTTTATAAGGAGCCAATATCTGGCTCAATGTAAGAAGACATAGCAGTTTTGTCATTTGAAGACTATTTAGGCTTCTCTTTTCACATAAACTACCAAAGAGAGTACACCTGCTGTGGTATTTCCTAAGAGATCATAGTTTTTCTCCGGTGTTCCTGCCTCCACTTAGGAAGGACTCTTCTCTTCTGGGCTTCTGTTGCTACTGGGTTGCTAGGACTAGGCCATCTGACTTGACTGAACGTGGATTGGCAAAGGATGTGCCTGTCAGCAATCAGGAGTGGGTAGGAATAAAAGATGGTGATCATGCTTGGAATGAAGAAGTCCCTTAGGTGGCTATACCAGAGAGGTCTGGCTGGTTTGGCAGGACTCAGGAGTGTGGTTTCTTTTGCCTTATAAACTCTTCATCTATCCCTCTTGAGTCCTTTGGTGGTAGCTGCGGTTTGTGATGCTCTTTAATTGGAAATTGGTTTCTCGTTTCCTTCTACAGTCCATGTTGTTTTTTCTTTATATGTTGGAGAGAACTGTAACAAGTCCTTATTTTCTCTTAAAGTTTTAGTGATAGGTTTCTTCTAGTGTTCAGACTGAGAACTTGACACTTCTTAGATCCAGGAAAATGTGTAAATTCCTCGATAACTCTGATAATAGCTCTGGTAGTAACTCTTCTCTATTTTCATTATTTATTTATTTATTTTTGTTGGTTGTGGGTCTTGAACTCTGGGCCTGGGTGTGATCCCTCAGTTCTTCAGTTCAAGGAGAGCGCTCTACCACTTGAGCCACAGTGCCACTTTTGGTTTTGTGGTGGTTAACCGGAGATAAGAGTCTCACAGACTTTCCTGCCCGGGCTGGCTTTGAATCATGGTCCTCAGATCTCAGCCTCCTGAGTAGCTAGGAATATAGGCGTAAGCCGTGGGCACCTAGCCTTGTTTGCTTATTTTTGAGGCAGGGTTTCCTGCAGAGCCCAGGCTGATCTAGAACTTGTAATCTTTCTGCTTATGCCTCCCAAGTGCTGAGACTACAGGTTCGTGAGTCCCTATACCCACCTCAAGTAATCCTTATGTACTAAGGTCTTTGCATCTGACCATAAGCTTCTTCATAATTTGTCACTATTTGATCCATATGCAATCTCTGTAGAATATTGCCTTGGTGCAGTTCTTTCAAGGTTCCAATTGCTTAGCTTTCACATGTTTTTATATTTTTTAATTCATTGTGAGAAACATATTTTTGATCCTACCATTTGTAAGAACATGGATGGACTAGAGGACATCTATATTAAGTGAAATAAACCAGGTAAAGAAAGAAAAATACTGCATGATCTTTTTACACATGTGACTTAAAAGGTCAGATATACTTAGATAGAGAATAAAAAAATTGGGTTGGGGATGTGGAGAGAAGGTAAAAGTTGGGAGGAGGAAATAGAGTGATACAGGTTAATGGATACAAAATAACAGACATACAGAATAAACAACTATAGACAGGGAATGTTCAACATGGAAACATGGAAAAGATAACAGAAATTGTACTGTACTTGGAATTTTTGTTAAATAACTAGATCATAGCTCCTCTTTATCACAGAAGAATTTAGGTGATATGGCAGGTTGCTTCACTGCAGTAATGGTTTTATTGTCTACCTGTATCTCATACATCATGTTGTAACCTTAAATGTGCACAATAAGTTTATTTGAAAATTTTTCAAATAGATCAGGTGCCAGTGGCTCATGCCTCTAGTCCTAACTATTCAGGAGGCTGAATCTTGGTTCAAAGCCAGCCGTGGGCAGGAAAGTCTGTGAGACTCTTTATCTCAAATTAACTACCAGAAAAAGCATGAAGTGAAGCAGTGGCTAGCCTTGAACAAATAAGCTTAGGGACAGTACCCCGGCCCTGAGTTCAAGCCCCAGGATGGACACAAAAAATTATTTTAAAAAATATTGAAGAGTCTCATGAAGGAATACCCTTTCTTCCTGTGGTACACTTTTATATTCTCTTTGGTTCAAAAAAGATGGTAGCAGGCTGTGGGGGAGTGAGGGTGACAGCAGCCCACTTAATTGATGTGACCCAATACACCGTCACCTACACCTTAAAAGCTACCATTAAATGGCTGAAACGATTCCCATTTTTACTTTACAATCTTGGAATGTGAACAAAGCCATCTGCATGAGAAGCAAATTAGACGGATTAAAATTTCTAATGTTCATTTCCTTTTGTTCCATGAGTTGAAGTGATAGAAGGCTACAAGAAGGAAAGTGCAGGCTGTTCCTCACGCGTACATGGGAGTACAGTTCTCACTACCGAGAGCTCCCAGGCTTGGCTCCTGATAATGCCCTGAGCACACAACTGAGATCACAGTTGAGGAGGTTACTGAAATTGCAACACCAAATCAGCTTTATCTCGGCACAGTTGAAATACAGATCCTCACTCTTCTGGAGGAATTTTCTAGCCTCTCATGTTGTTTCACGTGGCCAACAAGGAGCCGCGGTGTTTTTCCGGACCTGCCTTCTTCTTCAGTGGTTATAATGTACAGCTGGGAATAGACCCCAGTGATTCTAAGTTTACACCACCTGATGCCAAGCTCAGAGGACTTTGCAGACTGTGTGGGATTCAGGAACTGACCTTTTCCTGCAGTTGGACTTGTATCTCTGTTAAACAAATCAGAGATGTTCAGCTCACTGCTGGGAGCAGTGCACAGAGCTGCCTAGAAGACTGCTCGTGTTAGTTAAAAAAAAAAAAAGATCTTTTTATATTGCTTTGGTTATATTTAGGAGCTACAAGTTTGCTCTAAACAGCCCTTGTATTTGGTTTGTAGAGGGGGTGGCAAAGAAAGGAAATGTTAGTTAAAGGAAACCAAGATTGAATTAGGGGAAATGAGATGTTCATTTTGAACTGTCAGATTATCAAAGCAGAATTTCCCGCTCCCTTCGTATACAATAGTCATTCTTCTAATACATTTCTTTAAAGTCTTCATAAATTAGCCATTTTCAGTTTGTTCTAGAATAGACCAATTCATATGGACCCAGACTTATTGATATTCCCAGCTTTTTAGTTCTGAGTCCCTTGAGATTCTTGGCTCATAATTCAACAATAGAGGAACAATTTGAAGCCATAATTGTCTGAGGCCTTGTTTAGTGTTAGAACACAGTATTTTTCCAGTTGGCAGCACATTTCTTCATTGCTCATATTCACTGCTTCTATCTTTATATGCAGATGTACTTCTCTTTCCCCACCCTCTCCTCCTCTTTCTAACACCTACATCTGCTACCTCCTTTTTAATTTTACAGGTGTAATGAACTGTTGACAGCCTCACAGTTGCTCAATCTTGTGTGTGTGTGTGTGTGTATGTGTGTGCATGCACACACGTACACACGCACACATGTAAATAACTGTAAAAAGGAGCCTTGAGAAAAAAGCAAGAAAACAAGGTCCTGAGTTAAAGAAAAGAGAAAAATGGGAATAAAAAGCAGCAGAGGTGATTAGACCTGCTCGGCCTGAGAGGTTCCTGCTGCCTGGCAGTGGCACTTCATTTATTCTGGCAGTTGCATACATTCTGTTGTTCTGCTCATAGCAGTAGCCTGCTTATCCCACCAGCCGCTATCTGCCCCTTTGGATAAATATACACATGACCTGGGAGCCAGACTGCCATACTACTGACCATGGTCACTGCTCATGGCAGTGTCCTCCCATTCCTGCTCACATAGGTCATTTCCCATATACTTTGTGACTTCTTTGTGATAGCTCAGCCAGTCGTTGGAGGATATTATCTTGATTCATATAGTATCTGTACTGTGTAGCCAGCATAAACTTTTTTTTCCTCCCTTAGTGCTGGGGTTTAAAGTTAGGGTCTTTTTGTGGTCTTGATGTACTTTTTTGTTCATAGCTGGTGCTTTACTATTTGAGTCATATGTCTACATCCAGCTTTTTGTTGGTTAACTGGATGAATAAATCATTGTCCTGATAGCCATCCGCATTAGAACTCTTTGCTTTTATGCAACTGACTTTGGGATGGTAAGGAAGCGGAGACCTTTTCTGGCTCACCATTTCAGCCTGAGTATATAACTCTTTCTGGTTTGAATCATCAGTTTGCACAGTTAACCTTCACTATAATTGAGCTTTAGGCAGTGTGTGGTGAGCCCATGTTCTTAGGAAACAATCTTTTTAAGTGGGTGAATTTCTTCATTAATTCTATATTTCTTCATAAGCGATTGCTTCTTGCCATGTGCCATGTTGTATAAAAAGCAAAACCCAACAGGCGATACTCTGGTGTTTGGAGACTAGCTAGCACCATTCTATTTCATTCTCTTAACTCTGCCAGAAAAATTAATAGTGACAGATGAATTTCTATAATTCCATGGATTTGTGCTTTAGGAGCTACATCTCTTTAGGAGCTGAATCTTCAAAATGGGAACTGAGGGGTGCTCTTAAGATTCTCTGAACTTCTTTTTCCTTTATTTAGGAACAAAATGCTTACTCACTGCTTCTTTCTCGAAGTGAAGGCAAACAGCAATTTCAGTTAAATATATGGGATAAAATGTGTGGGATGTGGGCTGATAGATTTTACATGATGATTGAATGCGGTTTTGAGCAAGTAATAAAGGTGCCATCTCTTCACTAATTCATTCCACAAGTATTTGCTGGATGCTTACCAAGTGATAGGTACTATACTGGGAGCTGGGAAGGAGTATAGCACTCTTCTATGCATCAGGCTGTGGTCAGATTTCTGGCTTATGTGGCTGTAATAGAACCCAGGCCAGCTTGGCTCATCTCCTTGATAGGAACTTTTTATTTTTTCACTCCCTGTCTCCAGGAGACAGTGCTGGCTTCCCTTTTGTTTATAACTGTCAAGTGTGAGTCATCCCTTAGTTGTAAGTATTGCAGAATTGCAAATCACATTTCATTTTAATTTGTACTGTTGCCAGGCCTCAGCCTATGGCCCTTTGCCTGTCTCCTAACAGTCATGATAGAGCAGTGAGACCAGCTGTACAAGTGAACTGACTGGGAAAGAGAGAAGACAGTGTGGTACTTACTTTTTGTCCCCCCCCCCCTGCCCCAACCATTGTGGGGCTTGAACTCAGGGCCTGGGTGCTGTCCATTAGCTTTTTTGTTCAAGGCTAGCTCTCTACCACTTTGAGCCACAGCACCAGTTCTGGTTTTTGAGTGGTTAATTGGAGATAAGAGTCTCAGGGGAACTTTTCTTCCCCAGGCAGATTAATCTGCAATATATCTCAGCCTCCCAAGTAGCTAGGATTATAGGTGTGAGCCACCAGCACCCGGCCAAACAAAATTCTGAGAATTTTCTAAATATTTAATTTTGAATATTTGGCTTTTTTTTCCTGTACCAAGATTTTTGATTTATAGCTTTAAAAAATATATAAATTATATATATATTAGGGGAGCTTTGCAGTTAAAAAACTACCTAATATAGTTTTTATTTCTTGGGGTTTTTTTTTTTGGTCTTTATCTCATCACTGATGGTATTTATACAGTTGTATATTCCATTCTAAACCTTGAAATTTTTCTTAGATCCCAAGTTTTAAAAAATGCCTCCCTGAAGTGACTCATTCTCCAATAAATGTGACTCAGGAGGTCAAAGGAGTTGTTTTGAATAGCAAGATGAGCATCAGACTAGTTTTCCAACCAGAACACATGCAGTCCCTGCAGTTTGAGGCACCGATGAACCAGCAAATTCCTCTTGGCCTGGGCTTGGGTAAGGAGTAGGTGGATTTGTGCAGTGTTTGCTCAAATTACAAAGGGGCACATTAACTTTACCCAAGTTAAAAGTGGCCAGCCAAATGAATGTCATGTGACCTACCTGAAAATAAAGCCTAGCTCTTTGTTGCAAAGATGATGAGTGAGACATTTGTGCTTTGCTGAGGAGGGAAAAGATAAAGAACAAACAAAAAACCAATATACTCACAGACAAGTGTCAGTGTTGATGAAAACGAGATACTAAATGTAATAGGTAATATTTCCTAGTTCTTGTTCAATTTTTCCCTTTTTATTTTTGAGACAAAATCTTGCTGTGTAGCTCAGGCTGGCCTGGGAATTGGCTGTGTCGCTCAGGCTGGCTTTGGAGTCATCTTCCTGCCTCTGCCTCCAGATAACAGGTGGGTATGTGCCACCTCACCCATCTCCTCAGTTCTTTTAAATTTTTCCTAGGCTTTGTTGTCCCACTCAGCTTTTTGCTTACAACTGAGACTTTACCATGGAGCCACACTTTCAGTTCTTCTTTTCTGCTGGTTAATTGGAGATAGACTCTCCTGGACTTTTTTTTTTTTTTTTTGCCTGAACAGGCTTCAAACCATGATCCTCAGATTTTACACCTGAGTAGCTAGGATTACACGAGTGAGCCTAGTCACCCCTTTAGGTAAGTTTCAAATACAAGGAGGGAACTGTGACTGGGGTAGAAATAATATATTGTTTACCTTGACACTTCTCAAGAAAGAAGTAGGAAATAAAAACAGAAACTATAGACTAAGAAAAAGACCTGTTTATTTCCAAACCAAAGATCATTCTGGAAACTGGGATTGATTATACACAACAGATTGTCATAAAAACAAGAGCTTAAGGGGAGGATTGGAGGAGGGTGTGGCGGGGGGAGGAGGATGGGAAGGAATGGGAAGGGGAAACAAAGAAGAAGACTACAATGCTTGATAAGAAATGTACTCATTTTCTTGCCCATGTAATTGTAACCCCTCTGTACAGTATTTTCACAAAAACAAAAAACAAGAGCTTAAGCAAGACCAATGTTTTCCTTTCTTGTGAAAGAAATCTGTAGGCAGGCAGTTGAGTTGGTGTGGTGGCAGCTCAGTGGTTGACAGGGACCCAGGCAGGCCTCCTTTCTTGTTGCTTCATTGTCCTTAGCATTGGTTCCCCTCCTCAGGCTGCCTAGGTTTGCTGCATAATAACGCTGATCTAATTGTTACATCTTCACTGTAGGCAGGAAGATGGGCAAGGCAAAAGATCATGCTTACTGCAAAAATCCCCACTCCCCAAGAGTTTTTCTAGAAGATCTGCCCCAACTGTAGAGGAAGTTTCCTTCTCAAAAAAAAAAAAAATTGGCCATGTGTCTCTTGCATTCCAAATGATCACATTGAAGGTTTTAAACAAGACTTAGGTGGTGTGGTAAAGACTGTAGAGATACCTGTAGAAGTTTTGATGCACTTGGCTGTTTAATTCATAACTGATGGGTTCAGTAATACTAAGGACTTAACTTGTGTTAGGCCTTGGAGTTTTGTTAGTGAAAAGGATAAACATGTTTTCTGCTTTTAAAGGGCTTACAGGTTACATGTGGGTAACATGTGGGTTTTATTTTTATTTACTTATTTTTGTCAGTTGTGGGATTTGAACTCTGGGCCTGGGCACTGTCCCTCAGCTCTTCAGCTCAAGGTGAGTGCTCTACTACTTGAGCCACAGCGCCACTTCCTGTCTTCTGGTGGTTTTATTGGCGATAAGAGTATCAGGAACTTTCCTGCCAGGGGCTGGCTTTAAACCGTGCTTCTCAGATCTCAGCCTCCTAGCTAGGATTACAGGTGTGAGCTACTGGCGCCTGGCTACAAGTGGGTTTTAATTAAGTAAATTACAAAAGTGTTGAACATTGAAGTAAAGAGTGTCTGGGACTATGTAATAGGAAAGACTAAGGATATGAGATACGTGTTCATTGAGATCTAAAAGATGCTCCAGAGTTAACTAGGTAAGAAAGTAGTCATGAGGGTGTGAGAGGAAGGCAAGGAGAAAAATGTTCTGGGCAGTCTTACTTCCAGTCTGCTAATTTCCATATCCTTTTCTTTTTCTTCCATTATTTGTCTAATACTTCATCAGAGGAAATGTGGGCATTTCTAAGCAACAAAGGAAGACAGAGACTAAATATAGTTTTCATCTGTAATGGCTACAGGACTGCCATCCTTCCTGGTTGTTTGTTCATTCTCTAGATGAGTGCCTGCCTGTCTAAAGCTGCACAAGGGAGTGTTGGTATTGAACAGATGATGGCACTGCACTGAAGCCCAGTTGCTCCCATGTACATGTGGATTTTGGTCTCAGTGTGGGACTTGGGGAGGCAAGGGTTGGTTATGATCCTGTGGCGCTGATGTGACCTCCCCCTTCCTCTTCTAGGAAGTGGACATTGTGGTGGCACCATGCCAAGGCCTCCGGCCCGCAGTGGATGTTCTGGGGGATTTGGTGAATGATTTCTTGCCTGTGATAACCTATGCACTCCACAAGGATGAACTTTCTGAGAGAGATGAGCAAGAGCTTCAGGAAATCCGAAAGTATTTTTCCTTTCCCATATTTTTTTTCAAAGTGCCAAAGTTGGAGATAATAGAGTCCTCCACCAGGACAATGGAGAGTGAAAGATCACCACTGTATCGCCAACTAATTGACCTGGGCTATCTGAGCAGCAGTCATTGGAACTGCGGGACCCCTGGCCAGGATATAAAAGCTCAGAGCATGTTGGTGGAGCAAAGTGAGAAGTTAAGACAGCTGAGTACATTTTCTCACCAGCTGCTACAAACTCGCCTGGTGGATGCAGCCAAGGCCTTAAATCTGGTGCACTGCCACTGCCTCGACATCTTTATTAACCAGGCCTTTGACATGCAGCGGGACCTGCAGATCACTCCTAAACGGCTAGAATATACTCGCAAAAAGGAGAACGAGTTGTATGAATCTTTGATGAATATTGCCAACAGAAAGCAAGAGGAAATGAAAGATATGATTGTTGAGACACTCAACACCATGAAGGAGGAACTCCTGGATGATGCTGCCAACATGGAGTTTAAAGGTAAGTTCCAGAGAGGGTGAAGCATGGGCTTCAGAAGTCAGACTGCATATTTTCAAGTCTATTACTATACTAACTAGCTGTGAGGGCTGGGCAGATGACTTAACTTTTGGCTTGTACGGTTCAGCAGGACTCCTTGCTAAGTTAGTTGTCTGAGGTGGCTTTTCTTGCTCTCAGACTTTCCTGGAAGCGTCTTCTCCTTTGCAAGGCCCAGCCCAGCTTTTGGGAAATTGATCCTACTCTCTCTCTCTCTTCATTTTTTGTCTGTCTACCTTGGCCCCTATGGGAGCCGGAGAAGAGTTGCTTGAAAAGGTTTACTACATTGTGCTGCCGGCATGAGCTGAGCCTTTCTCCTTGCTCTTGTTGTTTCATGGTCTCATTTTCTTTTTTTTTTTAAATTATTAAAACTTTAAAAATTGTTATTATAAAGATGAGGTACAGAGGGATCACAATTCATGTCAGGTAATGAGTGTATTTCCTTTTGGACAGTGTCACCTGACCTCATTTTCTCTTCAGGCTACTTCTTCTAAAACCCAGCACAGAAGGATTTATTTTTATGCCTTCGGACAGTCTCATTCTTCACAAATGGTTATTAACAAAATTGGGCAAAAACCCTTGGAGAGTTCTTTTGGTGTCTGAGGTTTAGATGCTGCTGACTGTACACTGACTACTTGTATAAACCTCAGTACATGAACTTAATTCTACTACCTTTTAATTACAGTGATAGGGTTTGCTGCTTGCTTTTCAGATCCTCAGTCATAAGTACATACCAAATTGCCTGGGTAGCTTTCTGAAAATACTGGTGCTCAGGACCTCTGATGATAACTCCAGACTTCATCAGGGTTTCTGACATGGGACCTGTGTATTGTAGAATCTTCCTAGACAGATTCCATTTATTTCTATTAAAAAATGGTAGAACTAAGGCTTAAATGGACTTATTGGGCTAGTTAGTGTTGCTCGGATAGTAGAGTACCTGCATAACAATTATGAGGCCTTGGGTTTAAACCCCCAGAGCTGTTAAAAAAAAAAAAGTTAACTAATCTGCCCAGCCCTCACAGCTGGTTAGTAGAGTAATAGATTTGAATCTATGCAGTCTGACTTCTGAACCTGTAGAGTGTGTGTGTGTGTGTGTGTGTGTGTGTGTGTGTGTGTGTGTGTGTGTGTGTGTGCGTGCTTGAATCTATGCAGTCTAACTTCTGAACCTGTAGAGAGAGAGAGTGTGTGTGTGTGTGTGTGTGTGTGTGTGTGTGTGTGTGCTGGTACTAAGGCTTGAACTCAGGGCCTAGCTTTTATCCTTTAGCTTTTTTGCTCCAGGCTGGCATTACACCATTTGAGTCATACCTCTGGCTTTTTGGTGGTTAATTGAATATAAGAGTCTGATGGACTTTCTTGCCTGGGCTAGCTTCAGTCCTTGATTCTCAGATCTCATTCTCTTAAGTAGTTAGGATTATAAGCGTGAGCCACCAGTGTCCGACTCTCAGTCTGTCCTTTTAATTCTTGTGTGTTACTGCTTTTTAATCTTCCTAGTTACTGATGTCACCTTCCTGATGCCTAGCTTCAAAGCCTCAGCATATCCTTACCTTATCTTCTATCCCATATCCCCATCTCTAACCAGTTGCCAAGTATGGATGAATGTTCCTTCATATCTTATATTAACTTGTGCTGTTGTTATAAAGGTGATGTAGAGATAGAGGGGTTACAGTTACATTGGTTAAGTGTACTTTTTTTTTTTTTTTTGGACAATGTCACCTCTTCCCTAGCTCACGTGAACTTTTTCTGTTCTGTCTTTAGCCTAACTGAACTAGTGTTACCTAATGATTTTTTCTGATGTCCTTCTCTACTTAATCTTTATTGGTTCTTTGTTTGTACAGACTAGGTTTAAAGTTCTCAGTCTAGTAGTAAACATCTTCCAAACCCTAACACTGTACCAATCTTATTTCCCACTACCGGGTTTCCTATAATTTTTGGGGTGTTGGTGGTCACAAGTGCTTACTGTCCTCCCTTCCCCTTTTTTCTTTCTTCATGCTCTGCCTTTAGCCTGAAATGTCTTTTTTTTTTTTTCCTGTGAATTTCTAAATCCTTCCTACCCTACAGGCTTTTCCAAATGCCATTTTCACAAAGTTCTTTTTAGTTTTCTTTCCTACAAACAGTAGCCAACTGAGCCTCCACAGCGTTTAATCTGTAACTTTCATCTATAATTTAATTTCATGTATAACTTTCACTTTACTGCAATAAGTTACTTTTTCTGGTCAGTTGTGGGACTTGAACTCTGGGCCTGGGTGTTGTCCCTCAGATCTTCAGCTGAAAGTCTAGTGCTCTCCTACTTAAGCCACAGTGCCACTTCCATTTTTCTGGTTGTTAATTGGAGATAAAAGTTTCACAGACTTTTCCTGCCTGGGCTGGCTTTGAACTTCGATCCTCAGATCTTAGCCTCCTGAGTAGCAGGATTAAGGTGTGAGCTACTGAGGCTTGAACTCAGGGCCTGGGCACTGTTCCTGAGCTGCTTTTCTCAAGGCAAGCACTCTACCATAGGCCATAGGCCACTTCTGGCTTTTTCTGTGGTATTGAGGTACTTTTTATGTGGTACTAAGGAACAGAACTAGAGCTTCATGCATGCTAGGCAAGCACTCTACCACTAAGCCACATTCCCAGCCCTATTTGTGTACTTTTAATTACTTTCAAAAAATCTGGGGATGAAGGAAAATAGAATCTGGAGATCACTCATTATCATATTCCTTGCAACAAATTTTGGTGGTTTTTTTTTTTTTTGGTTTGTTTGTTTTGGGGTCCTGGGTATTGGACCCAAGGCTTCATGCATGCTGGGCAAGTGCTCCATTACTGAGCTACACGCCCAGCTCCAGTACAATCTCTTAAATATCTTTGGAGACTGTATGAGTTTGTGAATAAAGGCATCTAACTATGACATGCTTATAAATACAAAGGAAAGTAGTTGACTTTAGTGAAGATAGGTGCTTGAGTTCTTATCTTTGTAAAGAGGAACAAAGATAAGTCTTTGGCAAGTTCCCAGTACAGGGAGGAGTGGCTGAGAATTGTTAACCCACAGTGGGAATTCTAGAAAGTCCTCTCCCATATTTAATTAAGGGTACTGGTGCATCAAAGTGCACATGATGGAAACAAGTCAGGGCAGCCAGTGAAATACTTGACTGCCCATTCTATGGCAGGCATACCATGTTAGGTACCTAGGACAGAATGGTTAGCTAAACAGTTGATCAAATGTCTGATTTGTGGCTATACTTACCAAGAGCTCTGTATTAGATACAACTAAGTGTTTGGTTCTTGCCTTGTTCTAAATCTTTTCTAGGCAATTATAGGTAGACTTAAGAGCGTTTGTTACCTCACATATATCCCGTGGAGACTGTTCCTTATCTTTAAATAATGTATGCAGCTGGGCACCAGAGGCTCATGTCTGCAATACTAGCGATTTAGAAGGCTGAGATCTTTCCTGTCAGGCTAGGAGTGAAAGTCTATGAGGCTCTTATTTCCAATTAATCGCCAAAAAGCTGAAAGTAGAGCTGTAGCTCAAGTAGAGTTCTAGCCTTGAGAAAAAACAAAACAAAACTCAGGGACAGTAGCCAGGTCCTGAGTTCAAGCACCAGAACTGGTGCACGTCTGATCACACACACACACATGTAAGTTCTAGCCTTGAGCAAAAACAAAGCTCAGGGACAGTAGCCGGGTCCTGAGTTCGAGCTAGAACTGGTGTGCATGTGTGTGTGTGTGTGTGTGTGTGTGTGTATACATACACAGACACATGTAATGCATGCGTTCTGGGTAACATAATATGCATAGTTTTGAAAATATTCATTATTTAAAAGATAAAAAAGCACACATAGTACTTAATTCAAAGATGTCAAGTACACCATCCCCAGCCCATCAAGCTTCCATTCCCCATTTCTTTGCACCTTGCTTCTTCACTTTTCCTATTTGTGTCTTAGCTTTTCATAAAGGTTCCTGCAAGTCTGTCTTTATGGACACAATGTATTTATTCTACTGATGACATTTAGGCTACTTCCGTTCCCCCCCTACTACAGACTGTACTGTATTGTATAAATCTACTTATTTGTGAGAATATATTTCTAGAAAACATTTCTGAAAGTAGAACAGTTAGGTGAAAGAATGTTGGTCAGTTTAAATTTTGGGTAGATATTAAATTTCCTCTGGAGAGCCAGTACCAAATTAAGTTTCTACTAATAGACTTCTTTTTATAGTATATTTATATTTTTATTGAGATTAAGTGACATAAATTTCACAGTATTGTAAGATAGTGATACTTAGCTAGTCACATTTTAACTGTCACAGGGTGCTTTGTCATTATCAAATAAAGCTTATGAATTCTACAAACTTTGACACTACAACTACTTTTTCCAAATTGGGTAATATGTACATTTCTTTCCTTTTCCTTTTCCTGTTCCCTCTTTCTCTCTCATCCCCTCCCTCCCTCCCATCGCTGCCCTTGAGTTGCTTAGTTCACTTTCATCAATGTCCAGGGCAACTGATGGGCCCCTCTGTGGTATTTTTTTTTTTTACCTGTTTCTCTCTGATTCTGTGCCATCCTCCTAGCTTCCCTCAGATGTGCACATTTATATAATATATGTGAGGTCAAGCTCATGGAGTCATCTGTAGTGGGTCCATTCATCTGTAGTGGGGTGTCTGGGTTGTTTTCCCATCTTGGCTACTGTGAACAGTGCAACAATGAACATGGAGGTGCTTGTGTACTATAGACTTCTAAACACCAGTAGAAGTTTCCTACTTTCCTAGAAGCAGATCGTGTGTGTGTGTGTGTGTGTGTGTGTGTCGTGTCTGTGTCCGTTTTCTGTGTGTATGCTGATACTGGGGCTTAAGCTTAGGACCTCACATTCCCACTTCTGGCTCTTTGTTGGACAATTGAAGATAAAACTCTCAGAGTTTTCTTTCTGGGCCAGCTCCAAACCTCAATTCTCTGATTTCATTTTCTTGTGTAGCTAGGATTATAAGCATGAGCCACTGGAGCCTGGTTGGAGCAGATCTTTTTTTTTAACTTAAGTTCTTCTGTTCTCTGGCTTACTAAACAGATTTTTTTAATTCTAAGAGGTAATTATGTAATAGAGACAATTAACCATTTAAATTTATTTAATAATAATTGATTAGAATTGATTTCCTAACTCTTGGAATCTTCTCATTAGTATGCTAGGCAATGTGAAGTTTTACATAAGTCCTAGACTTGAAATCTATGAGCTTTGTTACTTCCTAACTATACCTTCTGTTTTCCAGTGCCCACGTTTTGTCTTCTCTCTATAGCTATCATTGTGAGAGTTTATTGGCTGTGACTTGGGATATGCCCTTATTTAGTGTGTTTGCCCTTTTTAGATATCATTATACCCGAGAATGGAGAACCAGTGGGTACCCGAGAGATCAAATGCTGTATCCGACAAATCCAGGAACTAATCATCTCCCGGCTTAATCAGGCAGTGGCTAACAAGCTGATAAGCTCAGTGGATTACTTACGAGAAAGCTTCGTGGGGACACTGGAACGGTGTCTGCAGAGCCTGGAGAAATCACAGGACGTCTCAGTTCACATCACCAGTAATTATCTCAAACAGGTATATAGGGAAAGGTTGTTAAGATGCTGTGTTATGGATAACACATGGAACAATTCACACAGAAGCCAAACTTCAGATTAGCAAGAGTCTCCCTTCCAACTTTTGGCCAGTTCAGTTTGAGTTTTAATTCATTTTTCTATCACATGACCACTGTCTGTGGGAGGTGTTAGTAAACTGTAAAATTGCAGTTAACTGTAAAATTGCAGTTGATGAACATGGAGAGATAAAAGGGCTTACATAGTCATATACTAAGTAATTAACTTTAGTTGATGCTGTGTATAAATTTAGAAACCCTGAGACTGGACTGTGCTCTTGAAGTAAATATGTCTCATGTTACTCCTTGGGAGCATAGTTTTAGATACTTAGGGCACTTTTTTTTTTTTTGTGTGTGTGTGTGTGTATTCTCTTTCAGATCTTAAATGCTGCCTATCATGTTGAAGTCACTTTTCACTCAGGGTCTTCAGTTACAAGGATGCTGTGGGAACATATCAAGCAGGTAAGGGTTGCTTAGAGAAAAAGATTTCAGTCCCTAGTTGGATCACAGGAAACCTAGTTACTCCAATAGAGAAATGATATCTAAGATCTGCTGTTAAAGTAGAGAGGCCATATGTTTTGGTTTACTTGCTTTGAGAGGATTCTTGCTTATGCCTACTTTCAAATAATTATCAACAGTGCTCCCTTTAGGTCTTGAAAATTGTGAGTTTAAATGATACTTCACAGAGACACATGGTGCCACCTCATTAGCTTCTTCCTATTTCTTTTATCCAGTCTTGTATTTATTAGGCATCTCAAAACTAGGCATTACTGTTGCTAGAGGCCAAGAATGCAGTTCCTGTTGTAGAATTGGATCTGGCTGTTACAGAGTTATTTACTGCTTATGAAAGAGATCTCACAGGTATTCCCTGACTCTGAATGTAATGCATTGAGGGTTTGTGGGCATGTAGTCTAGGCCTAGTGTCTTTCGATGCTTCCTGGCTGAGCCCTGATTTTGAGGGATGTAGAATTGGAGAGGATCCTGGAGTTTATATGGCTCCTATCTTAAAGAGTTTACTCTTCAGTCAGTGGATAACCTAGAAAATGGAAGATGTTGTTGGAGCCTTCTGGTAGTTTCTTTCTTCATGCTGCAATGACCTCACTGTCTTTATCTTTGCAGATTATCCAGCGTATCACATGGGTGAGCCCACCTGCCATCACTCTGGAATGGAAGAGGAAGGTGGCCCAGGAAGCCATAGAAAGCCTCAGTGCCTCCAAGTTGGCCAAGAGCATTTGCAGCCAGTTCCGGACTCGGCTCAATAGCTCTCATGAGGCTTTTGCAGCCTCCCTACGGCAGGTTGGTATGTAGGAAAGAGGTACAGCTGGAATAAGCAGGGAACGGCTTCAAAATCTTCAAAATCAGAATCTTCCAATCAGGAAGATTTTGCTCTCTACCCTCTGTATAATTGAAGAATCATCAGTGTCTTTTCCTTTTAGTCTGTTTGTTATAGGATAGTACTATGTTAAAGAAAGTTTCAGCAATAAGTTTTTCATGTGGATATTTTTCTAACTCTAGGGAGAATGGAAGGAGCTCAGTTAATTTGTCCCCATTTCACGGAGAGAGAAAAGAATATAGAGGAGTAGGAACTTTATGTAAGTTAGCATGGTGTTTTAGGAATGAGTGGTGGAAAGGGATAGCATTTCAGCTTTCCTACTAACGTATGGTTATGAGACATCTGCTTGTCTGTTGAGTGTGTGTGTGCCCTCTGAGTGTATATGTGTGTGTAGAGTATGCATCCAAGAGGTAAATCACTGTCCTGACTAGTCACTTCATTCAACATGTCATGTGCCTGTTACTTATTTCTCCTAATTGTCCATATGAGGTAGATAGTATTATTCCTACATGACAGGTGATGGGGACTTGGTAAGTCAGAGTTTTCTCTGTCCCTCCCAGCTGGAAGCTGGCCATTCAGGCCGGCTGGAGAAAACTGAAGATCTGTGGCTGAAGGTTCGGAAAGATCATGCTCCACGCCTAGCCCGCCTTTCCCTTGAGAGCCGTTCTTTACAGGATGTCTTGCTGCATCGTGAGTCCTTGTTTTTTCCTTCTAATTTGGAGAGTTCAGGATCTCTGACATTCTTATGCCCAGCCTCTGAGAATGAATTCCAGAGTCTCAGGTTGCTGCCTTGAAAAATTCTATTGAGTAGTTCCTAATGTGTTTTTGGATTCTGAAAGTCTATTTGGTCTTGCTATTCATATAGCTTAAATAATGTGACCCAAGCTTATGTTAGCTAAACCAGTTCAGATACTTTCTAATGGTTTAGAATGTCAGATTTTCTCCCCCTGTACTTAGGTAGGTCTACATCTAAGAATCTTAAAGAAATTGCCAGGTAAGTTGCCATCCCTCCTGTCTTATTGCTGCTGCCTCTGTATCTTACAGGTAAACCTAAATTAGGACAGGAACTAGGCCGGGGGCAGTATGGAGTTGTATACCTGTGTGACAACTGGGGGGGACACTTCCCTTGTGCTCTCAAGTCAGTTGTCCCTCCAGATGAGAAGCACTGGAACGATCTGGCTCTGGAGTTTCACTACATGAGGTAGGTTCTGATCTAGAGAAAAGGGAAAAGACTGGAATAGTTTGTATCAAGAGCTCCTGCCTGCCTTTTGTCTCCATACTAGGTTTTATTTTTTCTTTTTCTTTTTAAATTAATTTATTTTTGTTTATGTGGAATGCTAGTGCATGTTAGGTAAGCACTCTGCCATTAAGCCACATTCCTAACCCCCCATACGTAGGTTTTAAATTCTATAGACTAGTGGGCCTTTGGTATCTTAGCTTGCTCCTTTCCCACCATTGTAACTTCTCAGACTCCTCATTCCATTTGTATTTTACTCCCTTACTTAGAGGCTGTTAATGTGTAGATTTCATGATTCATTGCCCTTGGTGGAGAGGCTTTGCTCTGCTGTCTGCACTGAGATCCATTCCCTCTGGATGCAGACTAAGCATGCCTTGAGGTTTTTTTCTTCCTCTGTTCTGACATCTTAAGCAGAGTTATAGTCCAAGTGTTGTGGCCCAGACCTCTCTCCTTTCCACAGATCTCTGCCAAAGCATGAGCGATTGGTGGATCTCCATGGCTCAGTCATTGACTACAACTATGGTGGTGGCTCCAGCATTGCTGTGCTGCTCATTATGGAGCGGCTACACCGGGACCTCTACACAGGGCTGAAGGTGAGGCGAGGCAAAGAGAGGGCAGGATTCAGCTGGAAGCCAGATCTACCACTTCTGCTCCCTCCCTCCTTTCCCTCTTTCCTTTCCTTCCTTCTGTGTCTGTCTCTCCTTCTCTCTTTATGATCTTTCATTCTTTCCTGTTTATTCAGAATTTCCTACTTTCATAAAGGAGTAATCAGGCAGTTATTTCCAGAAAAACCTTAAGCAACTCTCAGAACCTTTTTTTTTGGTCGGTTGTGGGTACTGAACTGAGTGCCTGGACATTGTCCCTGACCTCTTTTGCTCAAGGATAGTAGTGCCCTACCACTTTGAGCCACAGCATCACTTCCAATTTTCTGGTGGTTAATGAAGATAAGAGTCTCACAGACTTTCCTGCCTGTGCTGGCCTTTTATTTATTTATTTTTTTGGGTCCAGTTGTGGGGCCTGAACTCCGGGCCTGAGCGCTGTCCCTCAGCTCTTCAGCTCAAGGCTAGCACTCTACCACTTGAGCCACACCGCCACATCCGGCTTTTTTTCTTTTTGCTTATGTGGTGCTGAGGAATCGAACCCAGGGCCTCAGGCATGCAAGGCAAGCGCTCTACCACTGAGCCAACTTCCCAGCCTCAGCCTGTGCTGGCTTTGAACCACGATTCTCAGATATCAGTCTCCTGAGTAGCTAGGATTACAGATCTGAGCCATCACTACTGGCCTTTTTTTTTTTTTTTGCCAGTCCTGGGCTTGAACTCAGGGCCTGGGCATGGTCCCTGAGCTGCTTTTTTGCTCAAGGCTAGTACTCTACCACTTGAGCCATAGCACCACTTCAGGCTTTCTCTGTTGATGTGGTACTGAGGAATCAAAGCCAGGGCTTCATTTATGCATGGCAAACACTCTACCACTAAGCCACATTCCCAGCCCCTTCTTTTCTTTTCATAATACCGTCATTAGCCATTTTCTGGTAAACAAATCTAGACTTCTTAGATGTGAACAGTTTCCTGTTGCTTTCATCTTTTCTTTTCCTTTTTTGCCTTTTTTTTTTTTTTTTGATGATGAGTCTGGGCCTGGGCACTGTCCCTCAGCTCTTCAGCTCAAGGCTAGCACTCTACCACTTGAGCCACAGCACCACTTCTGGCTTTTTTCTTTTTGTTTATGTGGTGCTGAGGAATCGAACCCAGGGCCTCAGGCATGCAAGGCAAGCACTCTGCCACTGAGCTACCTTCCCAGCCCCCAGGCCAGTTTTTGTTTAGTCAGTAAATATGTACTAGGGACTAATGTATACAAGGTCCTATGTAAAGTACACATAGTGACTCACACGTATAATTCCAACTTCTTGGGAAGTGGAAATTGAGAGTATCAGGTAGCAGTAAGATCTCAATTCAACAAATAGCACATGCCTGTTAGACCAGATGCATGGGACATTAATTTTTTTTTATTGTAAAGATGATGTACAGAGGGGTTACAGTTACATGAGTAAGGAAGTAAGTATAATTCTTGTCAAACAGTTTTACACCCTCCCTTGTTTTCTCCTGCTTTCCCTCCCCCCTACATGGGACCTTTTAAATAGGAAGGTTTAGTCTAGGCCAGCCCAGACACAGGGTGGGACTGCATCTAAAAAAATAAATCAAAAAAGGATGGAAGTATGGGTCAAGTAGTAGAACACCTGCCTACTAGGAGAAGTACAACAACAACAAAAAAAGGCCCTGTATTAAGCACTATTAGGGTATATTAAAAAGTCTAAGTTCAGCCAGGTACCAGTGGCTCACACCTGTAATCCTAACTACTCAGGAGGCTGAAATCTGAAGATTGCAGTTTAAAGCCAGCCCGGGTAAGAAAGCCCATGAGACTCTTAACCTCCAATAAGTGACTCACAAAAAGCTGCAAGTGACACTGTGGCTCAAGTAGTAGAGCACTAGCCTTGAGCCAGAGAAGCTCAGGGACAGCGCCCAGGCCCAGCAAAAAAAAAAAAAAAAAGTCTGCCTTCTAGGAGCTTTTTGTTGTTGTTTTGTAGTTCTAGGGATTAAACTCAGTGCCTTGTGCTTGTTAGGCAAGCACTTTGCCCTTGAGCTACACTGGCAGCCCAATTTCCAGAAACTTTAAGAAAGTTGTAGTTGGTGAATATTTCATGAAGATGTGGAGTTTGAGTTTGACCCATCTAGCTGGATGGGTAGCATGTGTGTAGTTTGAAAGAAGCAGCCACACCAGGGGAGAGGAAATGCCAGAACATCTGAAGGTCAATTGGAACAGGTGGAGCAGCTATTTCATTTTGGGAATGGAGGAGGTAACCTGCAAAGAGATACTGGAAAAAATTATACAGGAGTCAAAATGTTAAGAATTTCCATAGAATTCAGGTTTGTTGTAAGCGAGAGGCTGCACAATGTACACATTTTTCTGACACAAGTCCCAGGAGGGTTTAAAGCAGAGATCACTGATACAGGGCTAGGGATATAGATGAGTGGTAGAGCGCTTGTTTAGCATGCACCAAGCCCTGGGTTCATTCACCAGCACTACTAAAAAACAAAACAAAACAAAAATCACATATATGAACTTGTTATATAATCTGATTTAAAAAAAATCATATGCTGGCATATGCTGCTGAGGAACTTTAAGTATCTGAGGGTGGTTGCTGAATTTCAACCCCTCATCTAAAACAGCTACCAAAAGCAAATGAAGTTTTTCATCTGTCCTTACGTTAGGGCTGGGTAGGAGAGAAAAGCCAACCTGCCAAAACAGGTTTCTTTTCATAGATTCCTCTTTTCTAAAGGCTTCCAGAAGTAAGAAAACCTTAGACCTGCCTCGAGGACTCCTGAGGAATCAGTAAGATGAACTTTCCAAGGGTTTTTCTCTCTCCATCTCAGATGTGTTGAGCTCAGTAGTGCCTGATATATTTCCATAAATGGGATAGAATGCCCCATTTGATTTTTGGATATGTAATATAGTGGCTTTGGTATTTGAACCCATAAAACCAAACCTGGGTAACCAGGCATGTGAAGCAGTTAATCTGTCTGAAGGACCTAGAAGCAGCTTTAAGGGTAGGTCTAGAGTTGGTATGATGGTAGAAATGAGCTCATACTTTTAGTTACTTGCTTATGCCTCTTCTGTTTACATCTGGGGGTCGTCCAGCAGGACCAGCTGTGCCCTACAAGGGCTTTATGATTTTTGGCTTTTTCTTCCTTCTGCTTTAACTCTGCACTTTTTTTTTTTTTTTTTAGTACTGGGTTTTGATCTCAGGACCTTCTGTTTGTTTGTACTCATTAGGGAGGCAGTCTGCCACCTAAGCCACTTTTTGCTTTGATTATTTTTGAGATAGGGTCTGGGATCATAGGTGCATGCCACCATACCTAGCTCTAATTGGTTGAGCTGCAATGTCATGCTTTTTTTTTCTTTCTGAGCTGGCCTCAAACCACAATCCTCCCATTTTCTCCATTACCCCCTCCCCCTAGGTTGCTGGAATTAGGCTTTTCTTTTTTTTTTTTTTTTTTTTTGGGTCCGGTCGTGGGGCCTGAACTCTGGGCCTGGGCGCTGTCCCTCAGCTCTTCAGCTCAAGGCTAGCGCTCTACCACTTGAGCCGCAGAGCCACTTGCGGCTTTTTTCTTTTTGCTTATGTGGTGTTGAGGAATTGAACCCAGGGCCTCGAGCATGCAAGGCAAGCGCTCCACCACTGAGCCACCTTCCCAGCCCCAGGATTAGGCTTTTCTTAACTGCTCCCCCTTATTTGTTTTTTCCTCTGTGTCTTAATGCAGTTAGTTATTTAATACCTCACAGACTGAAATCTCATTTGGGTCAAGCTGGCTGAGCAGTTGCCCTGTCATGACACGTCGGCTCTTTTGTCTCCTAAAGGCTGGGCTGACACTGGAGATGCGTTTGCAGATCGCTCTAGATGTGGTGGAAGGAGTCCGTTTCCTACACAGCCAGGGGCTTGTTCATCGCGATATCAAACTGAAAAACGTGCTGGTAAGTAAGACTGCTGTCCCAAGAAACTCCTATGCTTCTTGGATTTAGCAAGCTTCTGTAGAGTGCACGCAGATATCAGACTGTCGTAGGAAACGTCCAGGAGGAAAGTGGTAGAGTTAACTGCTTCATGGGTGGACGGTATTTAGGTCTAGGAAGGAGTTTCAATAGAGACCTACTTACATTGTGGAGGTTTTCCCTCTACACTATTGAAAAATGTTAACCTTACAGAAAAGGGAAGAATGTCACAATGAAGACCCATATACCCTTTATCAAGATTTATATTCTAGCTGGGCGCTGGTGGCTCACGCCTGTAATCCTAGCTACTCAGGAGGTTGAGATCTGAGGATCTCGGTTCAAAGCCAGCCCGGGCAGGAGAGACTGTGAGGCTCCTATCTCCAATAAGCCACCAGAAAACCGGAAGTGGCGCTGTAGCTCAAGTGGTAGAGTGCTCACCTTGAGCTGAAGAGCTGAGGGACAGCCGAGTTCAAGCCCCACAACCAACAAAAAACAAAACAAAACAAAACAAAAAGATTTATATTCTATTCTGTCATGCTTTCTAACAGTCTTTATACACACACAAACGCACACTTTTTTCTGAACTACTTAAAAGTAAGTTACAGATCACATTTTGTAGCTAAATGTACCTTCTAATAAGAAAGGACAATCTTCTACATAATTAAAGTACCATTACTACACTCAAGAAATTTAACATTGATATGCTATTACTCAATGTATGATTTATATTACACGGTCCATTTTTCCTAGTGAATCCAATTACTCCAAATATGATGTTGGTTTGATCCAGGACCCAGTCCAGTGTTAACACTGTGCATTTTGTTGTCATGTTCCCTTTGTCTTTTTAATCTTTAATCTTTTTTTTTTTTTTTTTGGCGGTTGTGGGGCTTGAACTCTGGGCCTGGGCGCTGTCCCTCAGCTCTTCACCTCAAGTCTAGCTCTCTTCCACTTGAGCTACAGCGCCACTTTTAGTTTTCTGATGGTTTATTGGAGATAGGAGTCTCATGGTCTCTCCTGCCCTGGCTGGCTTTGAACCGCGATCCTCAGATCTCAGCCTCTTGAGTAGCTAGGATTACAGGCGTGAGCCACCGGCGCCTGGCTGTCTCTTTAATCTTATAGAATAGTTTTTCTGCGTTTTGTTATGAGGTTGATGTTTTTGAGGAGTACAGGTCTTTGTGATTGCTGAGGGTTTGATTAGAGATGCTGAATGAGAGGTGAGGTGAGTATATGTACTTTAAAAGGTGGAGCTTGTCAGAACTGTCACCCATCCTATAAAGAATCTTTTAGTCAGACACTGTGAGCTAATCACTTCTGTAATCCTAGCTACTTAGAAGACTGTGATTTAGAGGATGGCAGTTTGATGCCAGCCTGGGCAGAAAACTTCATAAGATTTAATCTCCAAAATAACAAGCAGAAAACACACAAAACAAACAGATGTGGAGGCATGATTTCCAAGTAGTAGAATAACAGCTGAACAAGTCCTCCGTTCAAATCCTAGAACTACCTCCTCCCCCAAATCCTTTTTTTTTAATAGCTTTAGAAAGCATTTATTTTAGCATATAACAAGATTAAAGTATGGTAAAATGGAGGGGGAGGGGAGTGAGCGAGAGATTGAGAGATTGATTTCCAGCTCCCCTTGTAGGAAATGGGAGATGAAGACTTAAAAAAGAATCCTTTGACATATTCCTCTTGAAAACTATATTAGAGAATAATTATAATGTTTCTAGCAACACTTTAATGTTGTATAAAGAAGACAGCAGTTTGCAGAAAGAGAAAAATCTCTCTAAAATTACAGGAAAAACATAAGAGACTAATCAACCTCCAAATGAGATGGAGTTGTTCTATCAGGTATTTTTTTTTTTATTGTGAAAATACCATACAGAGGGGTTACAATTACATGGGCAAGGTAATGAGTACATTTCTTACCAAGCATTGCTGCCCCCTCCTTTGTTTCCCCTTCCTATTCCTTCTCATCTCCCACCCCCCAATCAGGTATTTTTTGTGTCTCTCTTTTTTTTTTGTTGGTCATGGGGCTTGAACTCTGGGCTTGGGTGCTGTCCCTGCGCTCTTCAGCTCAAGCCAAGTGCTCTACCACTTGAGCCACAGCGCCACTTCCGGTTTTCTAGTGATTTATTGGAGATACAAGTCTCATGGACTTTCCTGCCTGGGCTGGCTTTGAAATGCAATTCTCAGATCTCAGCCTTCTGAGTAGCTAGGATTACAGGCGTGAGCCACCGGCACCCGGCTCAATCAGGTATTTTTTATTTGTTGTTTTTGTTGTGCTAGGGATAGAACCCAGGACACTGCCTGTTCTGGCTAAGCTCTCTTCTACTGACCCATACCCCCAGTACTTTCTTGGATCCTTAGGAGAGGAAACTTGAGGAATTATAGAAAACTCCACACAGCTCACTAGAAGACCTCAGCTTTTTGCTCTTTAGTCACAAGAATCAGGAGCTGAAAGTTCTCCCTCAGTGTCCTTCTGAGAATTCTTATTCTTTCAAGACTGAATATTCTGGTTTGTGTTAGCACTATGCTAGGTGCCAGCGATATAAGGGTGAAGACACAATCCCTGCAAACAAAGTGCTCAGAGAAGGGAAGGAGGACAGTAATAGGAATGAATTTGGAGACTGCAGGGTTGGAGACAGGATTTGTTAAGTACAACTGTAAGGTACCTTCTTGGAGCTTGGGTCTAGAGCTGAATGTTATACACAACCTTAGAGGCAAGGTGACTTTGTTCTACTTTTTTTTGGCAGCTGGATAAGCAGAACCGGGCCAAGATCACTGATTTAGGATTCTGCAAGCCAGAGGCCATGATGTCCGGCAGCATTGTGGGAACACCAATTCATATGGCCCCTGAACTTTTCACAGGTAAGGCTGCAGTAAGTACATGGAGGGATTTGGGCAGGCCTCGGTGCTTTTAACCTTGAGTGCTACCTCGCAGGTAAGTAGTACACACAAGCTCTGCCGGATGTCTGCTACAGGCAAGGAAGAAACCAGAACAGGAACTCTAAGGCAAGGAGGGGAGCAGTGAAGAGGGAGTGGAGTGAGAAAGAAATGTTCAAATGAGAGTCACAAGTACCCTTACGCATGTGACTTTGGGTTGTCTGTGACCTGAAAGTCATAATGGGCAACAGTCATGATGGGTTGAATAACTCCTGTGATAGTTATGTATGTCTTTACTGAAGAACTTAGAGTTGATAGAGAGATTCACTGAAAGAGTAAAGTAGTTTAGTATAAGGCAACACTAAATGCTAAAGTAAGGGCTAAGTTTTTTGATGTTAGTATTTGGCAAAAAGACAAATGATGGTTTTGGATAGAACTTTAGTCCAGTCTAGAAAAGTGGTAGTTGGAAAAGGATTTCATATATATTAAGTATATATGCCCAATGTGGACATATTTCTGCATATTTTGTTTCATTTAGTCCTCACAACAATCTTGTGATAGTTTTGATACATTTTTAAGTCAGTTTCATGAACAAAGAGACTAGGTTGGTGAAGTAACTCACAAATACTGGGGATAGAAGGTACTAGACCTGAGTATTGAATCTTGTCTTTCTGTCTTAGAATCCAACCTTGTATATACTGGAGGAATACTGGAGACTGGAGAAAGGGAAATACTAAGGACTGTAACACAATCGAAACAAATAGTGACAAACAAGATTGGAGTAAATATATTGAGCTTGAAAATCCTGCAGAGGACTTAGGCTTGCTTTTGAGCTTTTGATCAGGACTGCAAAGAAAATGTTTATGGAAAATGTTATGCAGAAGTTGGAGTGTGAATGAGAAGTCAGTGCAGGGAGCCCGGTTAGATGGTGGTTGTCTGCAAGACGAGGTTGCAATTAATGTTGAAACCAAACAATGCAACAGATTTGAAAGCAATTCAGAGGAGAAGAAGAAAGATTCTTTAATGTGAACAGTGAGCCATAAAGAACACAGAAGAGAGAGACTGAAGTTTTGAGCCTGAGTGGATGAGGAATGGTTGTATCTTGCCAGGAAAACAGGAAGGTAATATAGGTCAGTCCTTAGTGTGGGAGAGCTTCTAGTGGTAGCAATATATTTGAATATTTATTTCATTTCACTCTCTAGTCTTCCTCCCAGCTTTTCATTAGTCAGAGAACTGTGATCCTGCCCATATCAGAACCAGACAGACAGTCATCATGTTTCTTTCCTAGGTTTACTTTTTTCAAGTTTCTCTTCCCACTGCTCTTACTCTGTTTTGGCTATTTCATTTTTAAATTCCTTTGGTTATTTCTGCTGCTGTCAGAATAAACTTCCTGAAGTACATTATTTTCACACCCTGCATTAATACATAGATGACTGTCCACTGCTCACTAGATAGGAATCCTTCCCTCTGCCTTTAAAACTGGTTATTTTGAAACTGCATTTGATTGTGATGTAGTTTGGGCTGGCTTTAAACTCATGATTCTCCTGTCTCAGCCTCCCAAGTGTTGCTATTATAGGAGTACACTACCATGCTACCATGCTCAGCTCAAAATCTTTATCTTACATTTCTACTATACCTAATTACCTGTATTTCTCTAATACAACTCCCCCCCCCCTACCTTTTTGTGCCAGTCATGGGGCTTGAACTCAGGATTGGGTGTTCACTGTCCTTGGGCTTTTTCTGCTCAAGGCTAGTACTCTACCACTGGAGCTACAGCTCTATTTCAGGTTTTTGGGGGGTTAATTGGAGATAAGAATCTCATGGACTTTCCTGCCCAGGCTGGCTTTGAACTGTGAGCCTTAGGTCTCAGCTTGCAGAGTAGCTAGGATTACAGATGTGAGGCACCTCTCTACCTGTCCCTAATAGAAGTTTTCAGATTTATGTTCAGACCATCCCATTAACATGAAAGGCCTTACTTTTCCTTCTTTGTCAAGTTCAAATCTTGGCTTATTTAACCTCCCAGAACCATGGTTTTCTGGACTGTAACTATATATAAATGTGTCCTGTCTTCTGGCAAAATGGTATGAAGGATAGTAGATGTTTCAGGAAAGGCATATAAAGACCGGCAATTTAATAGTGGCAGCGATGCTGCTGCCTTCCCCTCCCTGCCTCACTGCCTTTCATCCTTTCTTACTAGGGAAGTATGATAATTCTGTGGATGTCTACGCTTTTGGGATTCTTTTCTGGTATATCTGCTCAGGCTCCGTGAAGCTCCCTGAGGCATTTGAGAGGTGTGCTAGCAAAGACCATCTCTGGAACAATGTGCGGAGAGGTAAGATCCACAAGCACCACCTTGTCCTACCTGCCCTGGTGAGAGCAAGTGGAGCCCAGACATTGTGCAGGAGCCCTGTTTGTCTCTCTGGCCAGTCCAGAGCAGGACTCCATATATGTTTAGACTGCCACAGCATGTGGAAAGACAGTGCTTCTAGGAATGCTAGATTGAATTCTCAAAAATGCTATTTAAAAAATAGCCAGTGCATTTGTTTCCTGTGCCAATGTATTCAAGTTTTGTTGGCCACTACCCATTAGTTATAACCTACACTTGCAGTACAAGCCAGAGTTCCCTGCATTCCACACTGTCTGGAGCCCCAGCAGGCAGCGCCAGCCTCTAATGCTGGGCCCTTCTTGCCTTCTTTCCATGCTCCTCTCTCCAGGGGCCCGGCCTGAACGTCTGCCTGTGTTTGATGAGGAGTGCTGGCAGTTGATGGAAGCCTGTTGGGACGGCGATCCCTCTAAGAGGCCTCTCTTGGGCATTGTCCAGCCCATGCTCCGAGGCATCATGGACCGACTCTGCAAGTCCAGTTCTGAGCGACCAAACAGAGGATTAGATGATTCTACTTGAAAGCAGGGGCTTTTCCCTTTCACTCTTCAATCCTTCCCTTCACCTTTTGGCTGTGGGGAGAACTTGATGTTTATTCACTATGGAAGCTCCCAAGGGAATTGGTGCTTGCTGGTGACCTCATGGGCAGAGATGGCTCCTGGACAGTGAAGAGTTGGATGACCAGCTTGGCATTCTGGGCAGTTTGCTGATGTCCACACTGTCCCTGTGATATAGATGGTCTAAAATTTGTAAAAAGGAGACAAATGTTACTTTACCACCGTTTATAGTTACTGTATTAGGTTACTAAGACCGGAGTGGGAAATGCAGAGGCAGTAGGATTAAAATGTATTGCTTTCATGTTGTCAGCTCTAACTAGGCTTGGTTCTGCCCAGTGGTAAGGACCATTTAGAAAATTTGTGTGAACACAAGGACAACAAAAATAACTTGAGATTGCCTGGTTCCTGTTATAAGTGACCAAGGATGTCACAAGGTGGGACAGATAAAGCTGTCTGCAGTGGCAGTGCAGTGTGTTTACATTTTAGGGCCACATGTCCTTGATACGGGGGGGGGGGGGGGGGGGTTCACTGTTACATTTTGAAACCACAACAAAAAAAAACCAAGCATGTGCACATAGGGATGTGTGTGTGTGTGTGTGTGTGTGTGTGTCTTACTGACACACAGTCACAGAGTGTGACTCTGTGGAGTGGACTCTCTCCTTGGGTCTTTCTCTACCTGCTGCTCTCTTGATCTCAAGGAGGAAGAGCTGCATGTACTGAGGTGTAAGTGGCTGAGGCCCTCCCCATCTGCCCCCCCCCCCAGTGTGAAACATGGCGAGACTGGGATGGTGGAGGCCCTGGTGGGACCCAAGGTCTGGGCACACACGCCTCCCACAAGGGTTCCAACTTGTTTCTGCAACTTGAAAAAGTCAATTCTTTTGTGTTTGAATCTAACACACTAATGTTTTTAAAGCTTGACCAATGGTTAAAAAGCCAAGCTTTCTTCTGTTCCTTCTTTTTGCATTACTTTAATTTGTTACAAGAAAAAAGAACCAGAAGGAAGAGAATGGTGAGATTCTCATGAAGTGTATCCAAGGAAAGAAACTGATTTGTCAGAGCAGGGAGACAGATTCAACATGGATACATCTCAGGGCTTGGCTTAAAGCCTCCCTCTACCAAACTAGTCCAGTAGATAGAGACAGAAGAATGAGCAGCGGAGGGGAGTCACCTCCATCCATAATTCCAGTACAGACTGTGGTCTGGCCCTTGTGTCCAGCTCCAAAGTATATGAAACAGTCAGGTGTGGTGGCTTCCTCTTATGATCTTAGTATTTCAGAAGCTGAGGCAGGAAGATCACAAGTTCAAGGCCAGCTTGCTAAATAGACTTTCAAAAAACAAAACCAAAGTCTATGAAATAGGTCCCCAACTAGTTTTGACAGTAAGTGTTAGACTAGCTGCTATTTTCTAGAGTTGTTACTGAATGACCATCCTTAACATGTATAATATACATGGAATCTATAATCCATTTTTATATAACTTTTTTTTTCCAGCAGTGCTGGGGTTTGAACCAAGATCCTCATGCATGCTGGCAAATGTTCTACCACTGAGCTACCCCCAAGCTTGATGTAACTTTTAGTTCAGTTTTAACTAGCCACACTGGGCTCTGGTTAGGATGCACTTGAGCAGAAGCCCCCACGCACGTGTATTCCTTCAGAGCTCCATGTGATGCTGTGAACCTGCTTATGTACAGATGCCAGTGCCTTTGGGTTCACCAGCTCCAGCTCTGTTCTGGTTTTATGTTCAGTATATCTCTTAGAATCTCAACAGCTATTCAGCTATACTTCAGGCTACTGTGTTCTCAGTGTAACCTGTTACCCTCCCAGGGACTGCAATGGACTTTCAGAAATCCAGGTGTGCAGTTAAGAAAGGAGAAATTAATAGTCTGTACTTACTGAAAAAAAAAAAAACCATGTCTGTGCTGCATACGATTTCTAGAAAAGGGTCTGGAAATGTAGTTCAGTGGTAGAGTGCTTGCCTTGTATACATGAAGCTTGGGGTTCAATTCTTTAATACTACATAAACAGAAAAACCTGGAAGTGGCTCTGTGGCTCAAGTGGTAGAATGCTAGCCTTGAGCAAAGGAAGTTGAAGGACAGTGCCCAGGCCCTGAGTTCAAGTGCAAGGATGGCAAAAAAAAAGAATTTCTAGAAAAGCCCTTCATAGTCAGGGAACTGTAGACTGTTTCTTTTAACTCTTTTAATCAGGATTCTGTACTTCATTGTGGAGACCACATTCCTTACATTCTTTGGAAGTCTTAGCTCAGACATATACTTGGGAGGTTGGGTTTTTTTTCCCCCCATCCAGTCTCTTTTCCATTTATCCCCATGGCTCATTTAGTCTGCTCTTAAATATGTTTCCTGGCAGACTCCCTACAACTTTTGCTGAGTGGGAGGGAGAGAGAGACTAATGGTAAATAAAGAGATGAGTGGTTGTTTTATAGAAGAAAAAGGTTAAAAAAGTATTCTTAGATAGGTGCAAAATATTCCTGAAAGTCTCCAGGCTAGCCAGAGTCTACTTGAGGACATTTGGCAGTATTATTTAAATACTCAGCAGGCTGAGTGCAGGATACGTGTGTATAATGTGTGTACTTGTGTTTTATAACATTGTTAGCTAATTCCTTGTTCCTTGGCATCCATATTATTAAAGTGATGGAATGCCATGAAATGTACTGTATTGTATATCACTTGGGAAGACACTAGATATTCAGAGAAGCATCGTGGCACTTGGGCAAAACAGGACTCCACAGAGCCAAAGTCCTGACTGACAGTTGTACCTCCCAGCTTTGGTTGTGTTGCTGTGTGGTTGGGTAAGCTTGCAGCTAAGGGAGGAAGGATAGCATGAAGAATGAAGCTTGCTGTGTTCTGTCCTGCTAAAACTTTCAAGGAGAGCCTCGAATAGAGAGGCCTTCCTGCAGAACAATCAGAAGAAATGCCAGTGAAGCCCGGGGCCCTGGGTTGGCTTTGCCTATGTCTGGAGAGCTAGCAGCGACTGGTGGGGGGTGGGGAGGGAGAATCTCCCCCAGGCAGGCTCTGCTGCCCCTGGCCTCCACAGTGACCTCTTCACTGAGGAAGCTTTTCACTGCCCTGCTTGTTCCTAAACCAAAGAGAGTCACTTGGGGATGGAGGCTAGTCAGTAGCTGCTGCTACTGTTTAACACTAAAGCTCAAAACAGGGAATAGAGGACCTGGTAGGAAGTGGTAGAACTTGGTCAGTAGCTTCGCTTGAGCTGCCAAAGAGGGCTGGGGGTAGGGGACTGTTTAGCATGCACATGGCCTTGGGTTCAGTCCCTAGCACCCCCCAAAAAAACAAAACAAAAGTCCATTAAGAGTTGGGAAATTATTTCCTGACACAAGGGGCCCATGGTAGGGCTGCAGAGTGACAACTGCACTGAAAGACACTTTATTTTATTTTATTGGCTTAGCACTGAGAAGTCCAGGGTGTTTGGTGACTACAATAGCACTTTGGGAAACTGAGGTACCCTTTAGCCTTGTTTGGGAGACTCCATCCATAGCCATACTTAGCATCTCATTTGGCTAATGGGAGGGGGACTCCCAAGTCCACATTTGATCAAGTGGGCTTATAGCTCTGGAAAGATTGATGGTTAGACGACAGTTGCTTTCTTAGTTTTTAAAACTTGCTTTGGGGGTTTGCTGGATCAAATTACCCGCTTTTTTAAAAAATAAAACAAGAATTTATTCTTCTAAACGTGGTGAAGAGGGGTAGACCTCATGGGAATTAAAGTGGGTAAAGCTGTGTGCCAATGCCTCATGCCTATAACGCTAGATACTTAGGAGGCTGAGCTCTGAGGATCATGGTTCAAAGCCAGCCTGGGCAGGAAAGTCCATGGGACTCATCTCTCCAGTGTTAACCACCAAAAAAGCCAGAAGTGGAGCTGTGACTCAAGTGGTAGAGTGCTACCCTTGAGCCAGAACTCAGGGACAGCACCTAGGCCCTGAGTTCAAGCCCAGGATGGCACATATTTAGAAAGTGTGTAAGGAAGGAGTGACCAGGGGACACGTGTATCACAGACTTCCAGTAACACTATTGTTGAATAGTTTCCTGACTTCATCTGCTTTGTAACATCTAGTCCAACTGAGGCCATGGCAGAGACAGTATGAGGACATCTAACACGGGAAGCTAGCTTCCCAGAGGGCTGGCAAGAAATTGGTCTGCACGGCTGGTGGGCTTGTCCTTATGTAATGTTTTTTGTTTGCTCTAAAGGACTAATGGTTATTACAGTGTTAAATAAAAGTAACATAATAGTATGTAGAATAAAAGTGCAATAACAAAAGAATTATTTTGGCACAGCCCTCTCTTCTCCCTCCTTTCCTGTTTCTGGCTCTTTCCATGACATTGTTATAGCAGGACCATGTTGATTGTGTGTATTTTAAAGATACACAACTGTGGGCTTAGTCTTCATTTTGTGTAACTTTGAAAGGGTTTGGGTTTGGTTTTACAGAGTATTCTATGTAATCCTTAGGTTGCGCAAATACCAGATGTGCTGTATAATAAAGGTCATATTAACATTTTAGTTTAACATCTGTTTGGCTTTGGCTTTCTTTCCCTGCTCTGCCAGTGTTCACAGGCTGCTCCCTAATCTGTCACTGCCCACCATGTCTTTCAGTTTGCCTTTGGGGGAGTAATGACACTGTTACTCTCCCAGCCGGGGCAGACTCCCGTCATGATCAGCCCACCTGGTTGCTCTTGGTAACGGGGTTCTTTTTATTAGCACTGCTAGAGGTGGAGCGAGAAAATGATTGATGATAGGATGATTGAGAAGAGGGATGACAGAAAGTTACTTTGACAAACCTATCCTGGGGTGATACCTTTTCTCCAACATTCCTTTGGATGGAGAACTTGCAGCATCAGGAGCCTAGCTCCTCCCTCTTGTGCTGGGAAGAATCTGGGGCTGTAACCTGTAGGCCAACCACTGCATTTAGAATGTTTTGAGTTCTCTGTTCAGGAGACTCCTCTTCAGTTAGCTCACTCAACAAGCCACCTCCTGAAGAACAGCACTTTGTAGTCACCATGGAAAGTCAGTGATCAATATGCCTTTCCTTCCTTCCTTCTTCCCTTCTTAATGTGTACTATGCTAGCACTCTACCTCTGAGTATACTCCACCATCGATTTGCAAAGTTGTCCAGGCTCGGCTTGAACTTCTGGCTTTTGAACATTATTCAACTCAACTTCAGTAATTCTACTTTTAGCAGAACAAAACCAAAAAGCACATATCCTATATTAATGGATTTATTTCTCAGAAAACCTTACGGCCTTGGCACTTAATCCCCATTTCATAGGTGAGAAAGCAGAGGCACAGAGAAGCTAATCTCAAATGCTCCATTAGTATCTAAATTTGAAATTAAAAAATAAAACCAAAAGCTGGGTGCCTGTGGCTCACCTCTATAATCCTACCTACTTTGGGAGGCCAAGAATAAGGATCATAGTTGGAAGCCAGACCTGGAAGGAAGGGCCACACTACCCCTTCACAACCCTGTGGCTAAGGCACATGCTTGTCATCCTAAGTGGTAGGCTGTGATTAGGAGGATCACAGTTCCAGGCCAACCCAAGCAGAAAAGTCCATGGGCCCCATCTTCAAGAAATTGGCACAGTGGTATATATGTATGATCCCATTAACAACATGGAGCCTAAAACTGGTCCAAGCCTGTGTCTGAGTAGGAAGCAAGCTCCTGTCCCAAAATAACCTGCCCAGAAGGGCTGGCTGAGCTGTAGAGTGCTTGCCTAACAGGCACAAGGTCTGAGTTCCAACCTCAGTACCAATCAGTCAAAAAATGGAAGAAAGGAGAGGGCACAAGCTAGAGTGGATTGGTACCCAAAGTCTGTCAGTTTGTAAAACAGACAGAGCACATTCTTAGCTAAGAGAAAGCCATACGCTGTATTTTAAGCAAGATGTTAATTCTCCAACGATCAATTCAAGTACTAATGTCTGAATGGGATGCCAGAAGAAATGCCAAAGCTGGGCTCCATGACTCATGCCTGCAATCCTCACTACTCAGAAGGCTGAGATCTGAGGATCCTGGTGAAGCCAGCCTGGGAAGGAAAGTCCCTGAGACTATTATCTCCAATTAACCATCCCAAAAGCCAGAAGTGGAGCAGTGGCTCAAGTGGTAGAGCGCTAGCCTTGAGCAAAAAAGCTCAGGGACAGCACCAGGCCCTGAGCTTAAGCCCCACAACCAAAAAAAAAAAAAAAAAAAAAGAGTGGGTGCTGGCGACTCATACCATTAATCCTAGCTATTCAGGAGCTGAGATCTGAGGATTGCAGTTCAAAGCCAGCCCTGGGCAGAAAGGTCCATGAGACTCTTATCGCCAATAAACTACTCAGAAAAAGCTGGAAGTGGCACTGTGGCTCAAGGGGTAGAGTGCTAACCTTGACCAAAAGAAGCTCAGGGACAGTGCCCAGGCCCTGATTTTAAGTCCCTGGACTTGAAAAAAAAGTGTCCATATAAAGGTTTTGTTTCTGCAACAGGATCTCAAATGCACAAATGGCCCAGATACCTCAAATGCTTTTGTCTTTTAAAAAGCTTCAATATCAACTATAGCAGTGATCTGTTTATTTTTTTCTCTATCTTTTTGGGTTAGCTTTGAAAATATATAAATATTCCCAGAAAATCACCTCTAGATTTCTAAAGTTTCTTTCTCTCTGTTTTGTTGGTCATGGGGCCTGAACTCTGGGCATGAGTGCTGTCCCTCAGCTCTTCAGCTCAAGGCAAGTGCTCCACCACTTGAGCCACAGTGCCACTTCCGGCTTTTTCTGCTTTTGGGTGCTGAGGAATTGAACCCAGGGTCTCATGCATGCAAGGCAAGCAGTCTACCACTGAGCCACCTTCCCAGCCCCTCTTAGAGTTTCTTGTGATATAATTTATACGAGTCTTTTTTTTTTCAGTGCTTGTGATCAAACCCAGGGCCACAAATATAGCAAACAAACATTTTACTACTGAGCTACATTCCCATTCTAAAGTGATTTTGTTTTGTTTTGTTCTCCCCCCACTTCCCTTCTTTCCTCCCTCCTTTTTACTCTCTTGTTGATACTGGGTTTGAATACAGGTCCTCCACTTCACTGCTTTTTCAGCTGGAGTTCGGCCACTTGAGCTATGCCTCTAGCCCAGCTTTTTTTTTTTTTTTTT